AAAGAAAAGGAAATGTATGAAGTCTTCATTGCAGCTACATGAAAAAGCACAAAGGCCTTTACTTTTTTGTAAACTCCTTTATCTTGCTTTGAAAATGTTCCTTTTATTTGGTTGTCATGTAATATACTACATATTTTTATATATTTTATGTGTAAATTGACTGTTTATGTAATTGGTAAGGCTTCCAGTAAACAGGCTAAAGTTAATTTACGTTGTTGTTACTGTTATGTGCCGTTGAGTCTCTTGCAACTCATAGCAACCCTGTGTACAACGTCCCTAAACCCTGCTCTATCCTGTGACAGTCACGCTGCCTCTGACACACCCATCCTGATTACCCCAGTCAGTGAATCAATCCATCTCATAGAGGGTCTTCCCCTTTTGCGCCGTCCCTCCACCCTCCCAAGCATGATGCCCCTCTCCAAGGACCTGTCCCTCCTTACAGCATGTCCAAAGTATGTCAGACGTAGCCCCAGAATCCTTGCCTCCAAGGAGCAGCCTGGTTTAACCCTCTCCGGGATGAATCTGTTGGTTTTCTTGGCAGTCCATGGTACATTAAATACACAGAATTTCAGCATTGTGAATGGGTCAGTTCCGCTCACCTCTGCATTTTTAAAGGTTAGATATATTTTAAAGGATACTATCTGAAAGATGTGCTCACAGATTTTTCCTTTTTTACCTGGAATTCATGACAGTTGAGAATGAGAAAAAGTATAGAAAGAATATTAGTAACATTTTTTGAATTAGTGATGAAGGATTAGAGAAAGAATCAACATTATGCATAAGAGAGTATAAGGTAAGATTTACTTTTTAAATACTTTTAGAAATCTTGTAGTATAATTAAATAAACACTTTACTTTTTTTTTTTAAGCCCAAAATCAAGAAAGCAAAGATTCTCAGCCCTGGGCCAATTGTCAGCTTCGTGATAGAGAAGAGATTGATAGTGTTAATAACTTCAGCTTGCTTGGTTCCACAATCAGCACTTTTGGCATTAGCAGTCAGGAACTCAGAAGACTAATTGCATTGGGAAAGTCTGCTGTCAGGGACCTCTCTAGAGTACTAAAGAACAATGAAGTCAGTCTGGAAACTCAGGTGCACCTGATACAGGTCATAATCTTTGCAATTACGTGTTATGCCTCTGAGACCTGGACAATAACTAAAGATGATAGAAGAAGGGTTGATGCCTTTGAGTTGTGGTGCTGGAGAAGAGAGTTTTGAACATACCTTGGACTGCCAGGAGAACAAACAGGTCTGGCCTGGAGAAGGTGAAACCAGGCTACTCCCTGGAAACAAGGATTTTGGTACTCTATCTCACATTCTTTGGGCATGTGGCCAGACCAGTCCTTGGAAGGGTGGAGGGGACAGCACAGGAGAGGAAGACCCAGGATGAGATTAATTGACTCAGGGACTGGAGCAATGGAATTAGGTCTTTTGGAAGAGGTTTGTTCAGGAGAGGGCAGGATTCAGAGCTAATGTATAGAGGGTCACTATGAGTGGCAGGCAACTCAGTGGCCCATAACAACAACAACAAGAAGCTAGTTTAAAGGGAAGAGAAGTTAAAAAGGATATTTACAGAGAAAAGTTTGGTATATTTGTGGTTTGAAATAAGATAAACTCATGGCCAACTCATCCTTTCTTTGGGTTAGCGCAACTCCATGGACTACACTGCCAGAGTATTTATATATACTTTTGTGGTTGTTCATTACTATTATATTGGCTTATGATGCATAGCACTTCCATGACCAAAGAATACAGACAAGAAAATGGAAATAAAAATAGCTAAACCAAGAACATTTGAGAAGGTATTTCAGGGGTGTAGGATACAAGACAGTTTTAAACATGTCCTACTCTGGTAGCATAGTCCATAGAGTTGAGCTGCTAACTTCAAAGGCAGCACCCTCTCGGGCTATCCAAATCTACCAGCAGCTCAGCAGGGGAAAAAATGGACAGTCTGTTCCCTTGCAAATTACTTTCCCATATGGCTTTAAGGTATTGCAGAATAAATATTGCATTATCATTGCTTTAGGATAAGGCCTAAGAGACATAATTCACTGAATCAATCTCTAGAAAAGAGTCAAATAAATGTGATGCTAAATTTTTGCTGTATGATACTTTTAGAATGAAGGCTTTTTCCCAACAAGTGCTGAATGAGATATTTTCACTATGAGTGAAAATATGGAAGAGCCACAGAATAGTTTTAGCTATAATAAGATGGGGGGTGGCAAAGTTAAATCTATAAAGATACTTCTTCTGGAATATAAAGGGCTTTTATCTTTGTTAGAATTGTTCTTTTAGGATGGAATTTCCTTTTTAAAATTTATCCCTAAGGCCAAGTTTTATTTATGGTCTCATTAATTCAGCAGGTCTGCTTGTTAATAGGTGACAGTTATTATAGGCATTTGGAGAGTTAGCTATATTTTAACAGAAGGTGTCAAGGTGGTTTTTTAGACATGTCCTGTTCTGTTGGTTTTCTAAGACCTGTCCTCCTCTGGTGTCTTATGTCCAGCAGACAACAGAAAACTAGAAAGATAACAAGGCCTCTTTGACTTTTTCTGTGTCATCCTTGCTTCTTTAGTTCTGGTTGCTCAGAATTTGAGAATTTGGCACTTTGGCTTTTTTGTTAACACACACAGTAGAAGGAAGAGTGGATTTAACCTAAGGAGTACAGCCAGAAGTTTTCATGCATCAGCTCTTTGATTGATTGTGTGTTTGCCACTGAACCTGTAAATATGAATAATCCTGTTTTTAGAAACATAATTGTGTAGGTGAACATCTATAATATATGCATATATAGCCTTTCTTTAGACATTAAATCTTGTTTTATGAATTTGTGTGCCTTTTTTTTATTGTACTTCTTACAAGGAACAATCAATATTCTTGTTTTTTTTTAAAAAAAAAGGTAATGAACAAGGTGTAATGGAAATTTGTAAAAGATAATGTATTTGAATGATTTTATTAAACAAAATATGAATGAAGAATAGCATGAAACACATTGTATACAAACAAGCTTTGTAAATGAACCAGTGTAAATTTAAAAAAAAAAAAAAACAAAACCCAACCCCAACAACTCAACCCCAAACAAAAAACCCCTAAATCAAATAAACAGGAGAAAAGAAATACTATTTGGTCATTTTGTTATCATTGACAAGGCGTTTTGGTTTTTTTTTAAATTTACATTTAAGTTGATTTAAGATTTATTTTAAATTGTTCAAGCTTTATTTTTAAGACCTTTGCATGACTACAAAGAATATCCCTTTTAATCCAAATGTATTCTGATTACCAGTATACAACCTTTAAGCTGTAATTTTTCTACTCAGTAGTTTGTCTTTCAAAAACATTTTTTCCCCCACATTGAAAATGTTTTACACTGTAGAAAAATTGTGTGAGTTCATTAGCAAAATCTCTGTAGATGATAACAGGATACATTTTTTTCCTTGCTTTTTTTAATTGTACCTTGTTAAACTGGTCTCACACATGAACTTTCTTAGAATCAGGCAGTTCCTGATTCCTATGGGACTTCCTGTTTTCTCAAATAAAAATAGAAAAGCATCTCAGAAAGGAAACCTGGTCTGTGTGAACAACTTTGTAGGACTAGTTAGTCTTAATTATGATATGGACTATAAAGATCCTGGTATCTGAATACTTTGAATGTTTTTGCATGTTATATAAAAATAAAAGAAATGATAAGGAAATTGTTGTTGGGTGCTATCAAGTAGAGTATGACTCAAAGTGACCCTATTAACAACAGATTTAAACCCTGTCTTAACAATAAGTAACATTAAGAGAGTAAGTATATCAAGAACCAGGCATGATGACAAATGCTTTATATAGTTTTTCTAATTTACTCCTTACATCAATTTTAGTTGTGCGTGGCTGTTACTAAATGGTCTGTGGTTCTAACCCATCAGAAGCTCTTGTTTGGCTATTTAGAGTAGCTTAGTTGCTATTGAAGTCTTATTAAGGAATTCATGTTAAAGATTCTGAATTAATAACCAAGGGAAATATTTAGTAGTAAAGTTTTTTGTGGTTTTGGAGAATGAATGTTGTATGGCAAGGTGGCAAATCCTTTTCTTAAGATATATTTTATTGGAAATTTAGATCATTTAATAATTACTTAATTCTTATCTATTCTGTTTTCCATACATTGACAAGGATTCCTCCCCACCCTAGAAAGGTCAAAATTCTAAATTAATTATTCTGTATTAAAGAATCTGGATTTTTCAAGTTGTTTGCTTTGGTCTATATTTCAAAGAGAAATCAAATAAAGTAAAAACAAATGAAATCATCATCAGTAATAATAATAATAATATTGTATGCCTAGGATTGATTCTGATCTATGACAGTCCTATCTGTCAGAGTAAAACTGCTACATGGGTTTGCTTGGCTAGAGTCATTATTGAAGAGACTGTCACATCTTTTTCTCACAGATCTGCTAGTTGATTTGAACTGCTGATGTTTTGCTTAATAGCCATGTGCTTTTTAATCAGGATACCACCAGGATTCTATAAATAACAACAGTTCAACACAGCTCTTGTTGTCAAGTTGGAACCAGAGCTGACCCTCCAGCAGGTTTTCAGTAGTAGTAAGTCCTAGAGGAGGAGACTGCCCATCTTGTTCCCTAGGAGCAGCTGGTGGATTTAAACTGCCTTTGAATTGGCAGAATTTACTTCTTAAAACAGTTTTAGCTGTGTATGGCTGCAAGTAAAAGGTTTGTGATTCTAACCCACCAGTGGCTCCTGGTTTAGCTACTTCATGTTGCAGTATATAATGGAGCTCTAACTTGAATTTAGCACCTCCTAATTCTTTATGGTAAGTCTAGCAAGTCTGCAGATTATTTCCTTGGCCTTTATTATCATTTTTTTATTTATATTTTGTTTGCATGTTTATACTCAATTTTAGAAAATGGTAACATTTTAGAGGGCTGATTAATGTGGCTTATTGCTCTATTAATACTCTTAATTGGTGCTAATCATTTTCTTTTTTTTTTTTTCTTTCCTTGATAGTAAAAAACCCCTTTCATGGAACATTTGGAAAAATACAAGTAAGTAAAGAATATATAATATTTACTACTATGTTCTGTTAAGATTGAAAATGTTAAATTAGGATGTGACAGCCATATAAACTTATGTAGAAACCACAGACAAAATGAAAGATATATATGTTTAATAAAATGTATTATTGGATCGACAAATAAATTACTTTTGATAGTTAGAGTGGGACTTTGAAATGATTATTTATTTTAGCAATATACTGCTGTCATATTTGCTTTTTAAAAATTATCCAATATCAGTTGTTACATGTAATATAAGCACTAAAGACTGAAAACACAAGACTTTATTTTTTCCTATATAATATTCTTTATGGGAGAAACTGAAGTTCGGAACCTCTGAAGAAGAATAGTTATAATTACGATAATGGTTGTTTGTATTGTTTATTTTGTTACTTACTAAGTGATTAAATTCCATTATTCTAATTTAGTCCGAGAATTAATATGTTGTTGTTGTTATGTGCCGTCGAGTCGCCTGCGACTCATAGCGACCTTATGTACAACAGCCCTAAACTCCGCTCTGTCCTGTGCCAGTCGCACTGTCTCTGACACTCCCATCCCAATT